CTTAAACAAAGAATATTCTCATTAAAGAACAGGATGCCAGAAATCCGTTCTTTCCAAAGATTTAAGAGATTTTTAAGGCCGCCACGATATCGGGTGCGACAATGATTATGGTAAAGTGTTTATTAAAATATTTTTTATTTAAAGATATATTAAAATAATTTATTTATCTTTATTTAAAAAAATATTTTTAATATTAATATATTAAAACAATCTAAAATTAAAAAATAATATAAAATTAAAAAAATAATCTAATAATACCTTTTAAACACAATAACAAAGACTTTGCAAGTAAAATCTTGATTAATAAACAAACCATCAAAGCAAATTGTACTTGGAAAATAAATTTAGCTGTACCAACTAGTATTTGCATCACTAAATTTTAGTCATAAATAAGAAAAATAAATAAATAATTGTGTTGGAGTTGTTTACCCCTTGACTTGTGATGCTCATTAATTACAATAAAAAATAAAAATAAATAAAAAATAAAAGTTGACAATTGATTTAGCAACCAACCACATGATTTCTGACCATATGACGTCACAAATGTTTTTCAAAAATAATAAGAATGTCTTAAAAAATACATCTGAATTTTATTTGATAGAAAATTTAGAATTGATTGCTTAACTACCAAATCGCATCCCCTAAATTCTTGTAAATGAACCTCAACACGAAATAGATAAGGAAGAAGAAGCTCAGACCAATTAGACATTCTAACTCTTTCTTTCTCTCAACATTCTCTATTCTCAAAACTCGACTGCCAAGCGGTCCATTGCCAGCATCTTCAAGGGATTCTAATATCTCTTTCTGCAAAATATTTCGGGTAAAATATCCATAATTTTTGGCTCTTTAACAAATATCATATATCAGCTTCTGGGTCTTTGTTTTTGTTTCTACAACTAGTTTATTTGCAATCGAATCCTTCTTATTACCGGTATATATTAGAAGGTAATAAAAACTAATTTGGTTGAAATTAAACCGCATGCTTTACATTAGCCCAATTATCCCCATAAAAAAACTACGATGTGGACTTAATTTTATATACCATTAATTCTACATCATTTCATTCTAAAATTAATTTCCAATGTATTATTGTTTATTGTTACTCTCTTTAATTGCTTGTAAGATTATGTTAAGTTTCTATTAGATTTTTCAAATTTAATTCTCAGATTTTTAAAATTTAAAATTGTACTTTTTAAAATTCATTTGTACTGCTTTTCGTTTTTTTATTGAATTACATGTGTTTCATTGCATAACTGTTATTGGAGATGAAAAACCTAACAAAATCAACAAAATGACTTGATTTCAAATAAAAAATAATATTAGAGTTTTTGACAACTTAACTTGTGATCGCGTCAATTACAAAATAAAATATAAAAAATTAACAATTGATTTAGGAATCAAACACATGATTTCTCAACATATGACATCACAAATTTTTTTCAAAAACAACAAGAATTTAAAAAAAAAATACATCGGAGTTTTATTTGATAGAAAATTTAGAAATGATTGTTTCACCGGTAAATCTAATGTATTAAATTGTTGTAAATGAACCTACACACTAAATATACAAGGAAGAAGAAGCTCAGGCCAATGAGACAGGTGCTGACTGCAAGCCCCAATGAAGGCTCTAGAACCGCATATGTGCCCGTGATGAATGCGATAATCATTGTACCCATGGCAATCATTGTCAGCAACATGGCATACCCAAATAATATCCCAGTGGTATTCTCATCCATCGCTTCATCCTTGACCATTTTAAAACCATGAATCAGTGAAATCATAAAATGAATAAAGACAGCTAAAAGAGAGAGCACCATTGACATTGCATCTGATATAACAAATACTATAAAAGCAGCTTTTTTAGCAAGAATTGCACTGCCTTTACTTGGACCTTGGTCGCTCTTGTAACCGCCAGGGAGGGTGAATGCTGCTGCAAATGTTACCGTTGCTATCAGCGCCGCAACAACTAGATGAGACTCTCTTGCTTTACTCAAAGCTTCCTC